AAAGCCAGCAGCCGGTTTGCCCACGGAGCGGGGCTGCAAGGGAGCGGGGATGTTTCTGGGAAGTTTTGCTGAAAGGGCTTCTCGGTGCGCTTTTTAAATCCTCCGCATCACTTGAAATAGAGAGCGAGAAACTTTATACTACCAACAGGACCTGTAGTGTTTTCCACCGGACCTCTCCCTAGCTGCTCCGGGCTCCTTCCTTTCCCGAAAGGGGACGTTGTGAACTACCTTGGGACTTAAATCATCATCAAGCGTTTCAATTTTTAATATGACAACATTCTACACTTTGGCTGCAAAAGCAATTATTGCGGCTTGTACATCAGTAATTAGCAGGTCTTTGCTGATGTAAGGAAAGTCGTCATTAGGACAAGGAAATACTTTTTGTGCATTCACCCAAGGGTTGGTTGTGTTTTGTTGTGCGTTTTGTTTTTTTTTCTTCTGAAGGATAATTTTGATCATTTAAAGGGAAAATAGCTTTTACTTTAAATGGGATATTGACTTTCTGTGAACTTCACCAAATAACACATGTACTGTAGGTTTTGTCTCAGTGCTCCCAGTGACACTCAGGGTAGGACAAATACCGCGACTGCAAAGTGTAAAGCTAACATTTGCTGAAATGAAAATATCCAGAGGGTTTAGAGTGAGCGGTGAGATCCACATTAGCATTTTTTTTTAAGTCGGGACATATAGCAAACTATGATCAGACGTTAATAGTTAATATCATAAGCTTTAGTATATTCATCTTTGGGGAATCCTAAAAAGAGAAATCAAATACAATGGGTTACAGTAATTAATTTATAAATCGTTTCACTGTGGGAATAAGGGGTTACTTTATTGCTTTCTCGAGATAGGCAGTTCAGTCAATTAAGGAATTCTGCCTATTTCTTGCATTTGAAGCAGGAGAAAACTACGGGAGACAAGTAAATGTGTATATATATGTGCTTCCCTTGCTTTATTGAGCATCTCGGGCCATAAACGTGGGGCTACAGCATGGTCGTGTCGCCAATGAACTCGCTCCTCAAAGCCTGCGAGTTTATTGCCATCAGTATTCATGAGGCTGGGCGTACCCACGAGGAATAGAAACAACAGCTAACATTAAAATAAAATCTATTACCAGGCCGGCGCGATTCCGAGCCTGGCTCAAGCCGTCTGCCCGGGGAGCTGGCGATGTGTGGCGGGGACAGGGGGGCCACCGGGGGTTGGTGACAAGGGGTGCAGGCTCCCGGCGGGCCCCGGGGAACCCCCTCGGGCAGCAGCCCCTGCGCTCGGTGCGGCCAAGCAAGCAGCAGGGCAGCGCCGGGACCGGCTGCTGCAGCCCCTCAGTCGCGGGAGTCACGGTCAGGTGGCAATTTTTAGAGATGCTTTAAAAGTCAGCCTAAAGTTAGCTCTTGAGAAAAAAAAAAAAAAAAAAAAAAAAAAAAGTCCTGAGAAGAAAAGTTTTTCCTTCGGGACTTGATAAGTGACAGACCAAACGGTGCTCCACGAAAACTTCTCTTGTCCTTCTTCTCCGCACTCCTGAAAGATCAGACTTGGCTGCAACTCCCTAAGGAGGCATCTCCCCCGGGGACGCAGCGAGGAGCGGGCGGGGGCAGCAGCAGCAGCCGCCCCAGGAGCCGGCAGCAGCAGCAGCGGCCGCCGCCCGCCTCCTCCCCGGGGTCGGGAGGCTTCGCTCCCCCGCACGCCGCCACCCCCGTCCCTCGGGCGGCCGCCACTCGAGCGGCTGCAGTGATGGAGCGAGGAGTCCCGGACAGGGGGTGTGTCTCCAGCCGGGCGGGACTGCTTCCCCCCAGGAGAATCCAGTAGGATGCATATCGCCAGCTGCAGAGACGGCGTGCCCACCCCCATCCCAGGGTTCAGAAGACACCTCGGAGGTGGGACCCTTAGAACTCCTAAAGGTCCTCACCTCCTCAGCCTCCGGCTAGCGCTGGGGGTGGAGGTGGGAGAAAGGCTGAATTCTCTGCCTTTCTGGCCTTAAAAAATAAGCCAGTGAACAGAAGGGGTCGTTTTAAAAGTACTGGTGGGGGTTGATGTCCTCCAGCCAAGGAGAAGGTCTCGCCCAGCAGCACCTGCCATAGCCATAGTATGTTCCCATTCCTCTGGCTCGGAGCTGAACCCGTTCCTACCCTGGCTGTCTGCACTCCCTGCCTGCCCTCGCTGCCCCGAGCAGCCCCTGCCAGCCCAGAAGTTCAAGACCCGGGCGCAGAGGCAAAGCAAGTGCCCGGTGGTACGTGGGCAGGAAGGCAGGTCACCGCTTAGCCTGGAAACCCTCCCCTGGCCGCCTGTGCCACCGCTCGCACCATTTTCCCTTCTCGCACAGTTTTCCCTTCTTTCAGCGTTTTCCTTCGGGAAACCTGATGAACTTGGTCTGACAGCATCCTGGAGAGTGGGGTTTGCCAGAGGCACACTGCTAAGCACCCATGCATCCCAAACGGAACAGCATCCCTCGCGTTCCCCCACGGGACGAGACGTGATCCCGGTAATCCACCTCCCTGCCCCGCCGAGCTCAGCCCAGGAGCACCGCGGCTCTGGGCTGGATCTCGCCATAGTCGGGAACGGCAGCCTGCTCGGCTCGGGCCTTGCTCCTGGAGCTGGGCGCTTTTCAGCAGCTTTGGCGAAAACCCCTGATGTCTCCCACTTGCTTACTCCCCATCCCTTTCCCAGGAGCGTTTTCCTTTACAATGGATGGTAGCTGAGAAGTGGCTAGAATAACTCATGGCTTTAAAAAAAAGTCAATAAATACACATAAAGTATGGTTTGTGGATTCTGATACAATGATTTCGATAAATAAGGAGAGCCCAATCCCAGTTTCGAGTTCACCCCCTTCAGAGATGAAGTTGCATTTCGTTACCCCAGGGGACACAGTAATGGATGGAGACCTGGCTCCCTCTCGCACAAGTAATTGGCAGACGTTCCCTCCTTCCTCCTGGACTGGCTGGGGAGCTTGGGAAAGGCTTATGAAGACAAATGTGTCTTCACTTGGGGTTGTGGTGTGTGCTGGTGTGTGCGCCTGTGTGTTTTCCTGCGTGACCTTTCGGCTGTGTTTATGCGCATAAATAAGAGGCGCTCAGGAGAAACGGAACAATTCCGATGCACTCCCTGGCTGTCACATCCCTGATCCAAACACCCCGCTGCCTCTCCCCGCTGCCTGCTTGCCTGCAGCCCTGCTGAAACAAGCAAGGCAGCATCTGATCGGTCACCGAGGGAGTGCCCCAAGTGCCCCAAGGGACAGACAGGATTCACCTTGGGCCGCTCGCTAAGGATTCGAAATAATCTCACAGGCGCGGTAGCAGATTGGCTCCTTCCGTAGTTTTGCCTCCGGCTTCATAAGCAACTACAAGAAAAAATAGAATCTACTCTAAAACGGGACAGAAATCCCAAATCACTCATAATACCAACAGTGTCACTCCTCAGCTGTTTGATTCAAAGGCAAGAGTATTCTAAGGATAAACCACAGAAAAGGGAGGGAAAGAAGAGGAAGGAAGGAAGGAAGGAAGGAAGGAAGGAAGGAAGGAAGGAAGGAAGGAAGGAAGGAAGGAAGGAAGGAAGGAAGGAAGGAAGGAAGGAAGGAAGGAAGGAAGGAAGGAAGGAAGGAAGGAAGGAAGGAAGGAAGGAAGGAAGGAAGGAAGGAAGGAAGGAAGGAAGGAAGGAAGGAAGGAAGGAAGGAAGGAAGGAAGGAAGGAAGGAAGGAAGGAAGGAAGGAAGGAAGGAAGGAAGGAAGGAAGGAAGGAAGGAAGGAAGGAAGGAAGGAAGAAAGAAAGAAAGAAAGAAAGAAAGAAAGAAAGAAAGAAAGAAAGAAAGAAAGAAAGAAAGATAAAGAGTTGGTGATTGTTTTCTTCTTCAGGCCACGCCAGCGCAACTTGGGTTTTCCCGCGGAGCAGGAGTTGGGGCTGGGCAGCAGGAGGAGATGCAGGAGGAGATGCAGGAGGAGATGCAGGAGGAGATGCAGGAGGAGATGCAGTCTCACGCACACGCACGCCCCGCGTGGGCGCAGCGGCTGTAACCCGCGGCGCCTGGCACAGCAATAGGTGCAATAAAACTACACGGCGTGGGGGGAAATTTAATTATAGGGAAAACAGTAGCTTCTGAGTGTTTCAAACAAATGTCTGCCGCAGCCCGTCTTCTCCAGGAGCCGGTGTACAACTCGCGGCAGGGGCGGGCAGCGGCCGGAGGACGCCCCTCTCTCTGGCAGGGCTCCGCTGCGCGGAGGGGCAGCGCACCTTTGTGCTCCAGTGCCGACGGCCGGGCCGGCTCCCTGCGCCGCTCCGACGGCAGGGCAGGGAAGTGGCGCCCAGCCCCGCATCCCGCCCATCCCCGCCCCATCGGGGCGCCCCAGGCCGCGCTGGCGGCCGCGCAGCGCGCACGTGTGGCAGCCACAGGTGCCGCAGCCGCCCGGTGCTCGGTGCCGCTCGCTATAAGAGTGGCCCCGCCGCCGCCGCCCCGGCGAGACGGGCGAGGGCTGCGGGAGATGCAACAAGGCGCGGGGAGGCAAGGACCGGGGGCGGCGAGAGGAAAAGGAGGAGGAGGAGGAAAAGAAGGAGGAGGAAAAAGAGGAGGAGGAGGAGGAGGAGGAGGAGGAGGAGGAGGAAGGGGGGGAGACAGCTGATGTCTGTCAAAGCCGGAGCCGCCGCGCTCTCGCGAGAGCCCGCCCGGCGGTAGCCACGGGATGCGGGGCTCAGGTGCGGGCAGAGCGCAGCGCAGCGCGCCCGGCGCCGGGCAGCGGCAGGCAGAGAACTGAGCCAGGGAGGGAGGGAGGGAGCGAGGGAGACGGCGGGGGCCGGAGGGAGCCTTGCCGCCCGCTCGCCTACCCAGCCCAGCCTCGGCCACCGCGGCAGCAGCGGCGGCGGCGGGGGCAGGGTCCGCTGCGGCACCGCCGCCACCACCGGCTCCGCCACCGCCACCCGCCGCTGTCAGCGGCTTCCCCCGGCGGCAGGAGAGAGCCCGGAGAGCACTTTTCCCCCGACTTTAGGAGTGTTTGTGGATTTACATGCCAAGCCTTCAAGATGATGTCCATGAACAGCAAACAGCCTCATTTTGCCATGCATCCCACCCTACCTGAGCACAAATACCCCTCTCTACACTCCAGCTCGGAAGCAATAAGAAGAGCATGTCTACCAACTCCACCGGTAAGGGACAGACAGCTGCAGCTCTCTTCTTTCTTTCTCTCCCTTACAAGCATACACTTTTCTTTTTTTCTTTCTTTCTCTCTCTCTCTTTCTGTATACTGCATGTATGTGTATGTGCATTAATAAAAAAACCGCTGCGAGGCACATTTTGACAAGCGGCGCTTAATGTTTTTTTCATGTCTTCCTCTGCAATCATCTGAGCGCCTGTGATCTTTTTTGAAAGCGGTGTTCACACGAGTCTCCGACTTCATCCACTTTCTGTATTAATTTTTATGACTCGGCCTCTGAAAAGGAATGCGTTTTATGTGCTCTTGTGTTTGACACAATTCCCCAGCTGAGAGTTACAGATCCATTTCTTCTCTTCCTTTCTCTTCTCCTTTCGTTCCATTTCCCCCCACCTTTTAATTTTTTAATTTATTTGTTCCTTTCATTCCTTTCTTCTCTCCTTTTCCGATTCCCCCTTGCTTCCTTACCTTTCTACTCTTTGCTTCTTTTCCCGTTTTTCTCCCTCTTCTCGCTTCCTTCCCCTCCCATCCCCCCATTATTCTGACCCATCCCCCTGTTTCCCCTCACTTCCCCGGGCTGTCGCCTGCTGTACCACGCTTTCCCCAATCTCTTGGCTCGATCCCATACTTCCCTTACACGCTGATCCTCCTGCCGCCTTCCCGGCCGTCGCCCTAACTTTGCCCACCTCTCTCTCCCCTCCCTCGACTTTCCCCCCTCCTTTTCCACACCGCTCCCGCAACCCCACGCTGTCCCCCGCCCGTCCCCTTCCCCCTCCGCACTTTGCCCCCTCTCTGCCCCCTTGCCCTCCTCTCCCCGCACCCCGCTCTGTTTTGTGTCTCCTGCAGCTGCAGAGCAATATCTTCGCCAGCCTCGATGAGACCCTGCTGGCGCGGGCCGAGGCTCTGGCCGCCGTCGACATCGCCGTCTCGCAGGGCAAGAGCCACCCGTTCAAGCCCGACGCCACGTACCACACCATGAACAGCGTGCCCTGCACCTCCACCTCCACCGTGCCCCTGGCGCACCACCACCACCACCACCACCACCACCACCAGGCGCTGGAGCCCGGCGACCTCCTGGACCACATCACCTCCCCCTCCCTTGCGCTCATGCCCGGCGGAGGCGGCGGCGGAGGCGGCGGCGGCGGCGGCCACGACGGGGCGGGCGGCGGCGGCGGCGGGGCCGGCGGCGGCGGGGGCGGCGGCGGCAGCGGCGGGGGCGGCGGCGGCCTCATCTCCACGTCGGCCCACCCGCACTCGCACATGCACGGCCTGGGCCACCTCTCGCACCCGGCCGCCATGAACATGCCGTCGGGGCTGCCGCACCCGGGGCTGGTGGCCGCGCACCACGGCGCCGCGGGGCAGGTGGCCTCGGCGGCGGCCGTGGTGGGGGCGGCCGGCCTGGCCTCCATCTGCGACTCGGACACGGACCCGCGGGAGCTGGAGGCCTTCGCCGAGCGCTTCAAGCAGCGCCGCATCAAGCTGGGGGTGACCCAGGCCGACGTGGGCTCGGCGCTGGCCAACCTGAAGATCCCGGGCGTGGGCTCCCTCAGCCAGAGCACCATCTGCCGCTTCGAGTCCCTCACCCTGTCCCACAACAACATGATCGCCCTCAAGCCCATCCTGCAGGCCTGGCTGGAGGAGGCCGAGGGCGCCCAGCGGGAAAAAATGAACAAGCCCGAGCTCTTCAATGGGGGCGAGAAGAAGCGCAAGCGGACTTCCATCGCCGCCCCGGAGAAGCGCTCGCTGGAGGCGTACTTCGCCGTCCAGCCCCGGCCCTCCTCCGAGAAGATCGCCGCCATCGCCGAGAAATTGGACCTCAAAAAGAACGTGGTGCGGGTTTGGTTTTGCAACCAGAGACAGAAGCAGAAACGGATGAAATTTTCCGCCACCTACTAGGGGCGGGCGGGAGGGGCGGCCCCGGCATCGGGGGCACCGGGGGGGCCGGGCCGGGGCCGCGGGGGACGCCCACGCACCGCCACCGTCGCCTGAGACGCCGTGGGAGGCTCCTGGGGACCAAGGGACGATGTAGAAATTAAACGCGAACTACTCGGGGAGAGGGGGGGGCGAGCGTGTGGGGGGGTGCGCTATCAATTATTAAAACAAAAAAGACACCGGGACACCAACGAGAAGAAGGAGGAGAGAGGAGGTAAAAACGCTCTAGAAGCCCAGGGGGGTCACTTCTGCGGCCCTCTCCCCTCTCTGCCCCCCAGCCCCCCGTCAGAAAGCGGGAGAAAGAGCAACTTAAAGCGTAAACACACACAGACACACACCAATAAATACCGTGACAGCAACAGCCACAAACCGAGAAACCTAAGTCACAACTTTCCGAAGGAAAACAAAACCGACCAACAAACCCGGAAGGCGAAACTGTTGGTGATGATGATGCTACGTTTGGTTTGGGTCTCTTTTCATTACTTTCTGCTTTTTTTTTTCTTTTCCCTGGCTTAGTAAATGAATGAGGACAGAGGTGGTTTGGTGCGGGGGAACTTTTTCTTTAGTTGGCTTGGGTTTGGGTTTTTTTGTTTGTTTGTATTGATCTTTATTTTTCTTTGTTGTTTTGGTTTTTGTTTTTTTCCTGTTTTTTTTTATTTTCCTTCGAACGCGGTTTTGAGCGAGGCTTTGGCGATGGGTCTTGTCTGTGCCGGGGGAACGGTGAGAGCAGGGCAAGGGCCAGGAGCGGGGGAGCGGACCCCCGAGGCTAGGGAGCAGTCCCTTTCCTCTCCGTTGTTGCCTCAATAATCCTAGCTAGCTCAAGGAACACAAGGGGAAAAAAGTTACTCCACAACCCCTTTGTCTCTCCTCCCTCGCCTGCGTGGTTTGCGTTTCCAGCTGTGTCCAAAGACAGGTCCCTCTCTCTGCAGAGATGCATCTGGAGGCAGATGCCAAACCTGCCAGAGCGGGCATGCTCTCCAAAAAATTATGTTCAGACTCATTAAGGCTCATGGTTAACTATGTTCTTTCTCCTCCCTCCCTCCCTCCCTCCCTCCCCGCTGCTCCCAACCGCATGCCCCCCGGCATCCCCACCAAATCTGCTGGATTTTGGTTAAGGTCCCCCCTTGGTTTCCTCCGAGGGCTGGAGGTTATTGCACCCGGTAGGCAAAAGAAATCACCGGTGATGGGTTTGGGATGACATTTGTTTCTGAGGGATGTGCATGTTGGGAACAAACACACGACAAAAAAAACACTTGGGCTTAAAAGTCGTTTATTGTATATCATAAACGTTACGTGGAGGAAGGCTTTTGGAAGGGGTGTGTGGGGTTCAATTTGCACTATCACAGTCTCCTGGATTGGAAGCGATGATGTTATTCTCTAATAACCATGCTGGTATTGCTAATAATCGTCAAGGTGCGTTACATGTCTCACGGATTGAAAACAAACAAAATCATCAGGGCTTGTTAGGTAAAAAAGAGGGTGACGTGCAGAAGCCATCTCTGACTCTGTCTCTTGCCGAGAGACTGCTGAGGCTTTCGAATAAAAAAAGAATTTCTGGAAAGAAATACCATTCCGTTTAAATCAAAACAATCAATAGACTGAAATTATGCATGACATGACCTGAAAAAAAATTTAAAAAGAAAAAAAAAAAGAAAAAAAGAAAAGGAAAATAAAAGAGGGGGGGAAAGGCATAGAAAGATCCGTGATAAAGTCTCGATATTATTTATCTATTTATTTATCTATTTATTTATCTATTTATTTTATTAATATTATTATTATTTTGTGTATCATTGTTTGCAGCGCAAACATTCTATGCATTTTGAAACTGAGCACTAAATAGACTAGCTTCTGGTAGAATCTTTTGTGGATGGTGTAATTTCACAGTTTAACTGCCTGTTTTCACCGAAAACACAAACGTTCTTGTCACGTTCTTGTATTTAGATTTAAAAGAGGGGAAAAAAAAAAGAAAAAAAAAGATAAGAAAGACGATTGTAAATATTTTCTTTAATGCACAAAACAACAACAACAACAACAACAACAACAAAAGGTTTCAAACTGCAACCACGTGTGGATCCTGAAATGTCTCACTGAATAATCTACCTGTCCATGTATGTTTGCTGAGCTTTCTCCTTGGTTGTGTCTTTACTCTATTTAATTTCTATCAGAAATATTTCTGTACGCCAAAATACAACAGGGAGATGTGTCCCAGCATACTTACAAATAAAACAAACGTTAAAACAGAATAGTTATTATTATCATTATTGGGTGCATTTAAAAAAAAAAGAAAAATATTTCCACGGCTGGTAAATTCAAGGTATGGCCGTTAGGCGATAAGACTAATTCTACCAAAAAGAAAATAATGAGAGATGTATTTTTCTGCTAAATCCAGAAATCATTACTTTGAGATAGCTCTTATGTGAAAATCGGTGCTCTGAATAAAATTAACTATATATTAGCTGCGTGTGTTTCTTGAAGTTTATTCTATAACTGCAGAATATAAATCAAAGTAAAATTTTAAGAAGGACTTCTGAAGTATTTCTTTTCAGTGTGCTGGAAAGGATTATGCACCTACAAAATATGTATAAAGAAGAAAAGCTTGGGTGGTTTCAGGTTTATATGTTGTTCTGACTGGCCTAATTGCACTTAATTATGTATCAAGATACTTTATTTTTATTTTGGGTTAATAAATATGAAAATCCTAAACTGATCTCTCCTTATGTTGTGAATGCAATTGTTCATTAGGAACGTATAGGATGCCACCTACTGCTTCAAGTGATCAAAGAACCTCTTTCTATTTTCTGATGACCTGTGACTAGATCAGATGCCAAATGTAAAAAGTTACTTAATAGCTGGGATTATTTCTTCTGTAGATATATTTTAGCCAAATCTTTTTAATTTTGCCGGTAAATCTGTGAACCAAGACACGTGATGTTCAGAAAAGAATAATACGTTTAAAAAAGCTGTGATTTTAAACAACTGTTGATGTTAAAAAAAAAGCACTAAAGGTATTTTTAAAAAAACCCATAGATCTCGTCCACCGGAAATTTACTTGTTTCTGTTGTTATTAACTTGAAATGTCATCAGAATTTTTAATAAATGCATTTGTAAAAATATTATTTTATAGAAAAGTATTACCGGATTTCATTTTTTGGAGAGTCAGGAATGAACAAATAAAAATAATTACAAATGCTGGGTTTTCTTTTTCATCTGCCCCAAATGATTGAAATGTTGAAAGTGATACCACATTTGTATCATTCAGTAATGACCGATGTATGTATTGAAAAGTTGAGGAGTTTGTTTTGTAATAAGTACAATCCTTATCGAGTACAAAGAAAAAAAAGTATGTTAATAAAACAGATGGTGAAAAAAAAAAGCTTTGCAGAGTTTCCTATTTTTCATGGTAGGAAACTGTGCAAAACCAAAAACGTCCCGCTTTCTGTTGGATGAATCTGAATAGTTCATAAAGCCACAAAATTCTCGTGAGGCTTTTTTAATAAATGCCAAGAAAGAAAGACAGAAAGACAGAAAGACAGAAAGAAAGAAAGAAAGAAAGAAAGAAAGAAAGAAAGAAAGAAAGAAAGAAAGAAAGAAAGAAAGAAAGAAAGTTAGTTTAGAAGGTTTAACCTAAGGACTAATAAAACTTTTGCGTCCGAGGAAAAAAGTAAGATAAAAGACGAAGAGGCAGAGCATGTGTTCGCATTTATTCCCCAACAGTGCGCAGCTTCTCGCATAGAGAAGAGCCATTTGTGGCCAAAAAAGATGTAGAAATCCCCCCCACGGCCCCAGTGCCAGGGGCCGAGGCCGCTGCCGGGCGGCGGCTCTGACGGCTCCTGCTCTCCAGCCTGCGCCCCTTGCCGATGAGCGTTTCGCTGCTGCCATCCCTTGAATGGCCTTTTCCTCCACAGCCGAGGTATCTCGCCGCTCTCCTAGTGTTTCCTAGTGTGATTTTCCCGTCCTAAGTCTGCTAGACGCGGTTTGGCTCCCGGAATTTCTGCCTAACACTTGCTCTCCGCTTGCTTTCAACTTAGATTAGGCCATCATAAGTGAGTAACAGACACCCACTGCCACGGTCGTATTGATTTTTACTCTCCTGTGATATTAAGACTAATTCGGTCCTGGTTCAACAAGTAAAAAGGCTTCCCAGAAGGAGAATGAAGTGTCCTACAGCACTGACTTTATGGTTTATGTGCCTCCCTCCCCGCCTCCCCGTGTTACCCCTTTCCTCCGAAGAGAAATAGATTTGTCGAAAGATAATTATTTTAACTCTGACGGACTCGAGCGCATAAAGCTTGATAGCGCCGGTGGTGCCCTGTGTTATTCTGGCATTTCCCAAACGATTTTAAATCCCTCCAGTTATTTATATCTCGCTTTTCAGCCGGCGCTATTTTTTTTTTTAAGCTTTATTATATTTACCTGCTGATTCCAAAGCGGAGGCAAGCCTAATTGATTTTTAAAAGATCAGCAGCAGAATTCTAATCCGCTTGGGAACCTGTTTCCACCTGCCAGACGAGGGTCTGATTATGGGTAATTATGTTATTTAAGAGTTGATAAAATAGCGGGGCCCGGCGCTGCCCGGGCCCCTTCCTTCCGCAGCCGGGGCGCGGAGGGGACCCGCGCGGGGAGAGCGGGCGCGGCGGGGCCGCCGCCATCACGTGCGCCGCTGCAAACACAATTACGGGGCCGCCGTTAATAATTCATGGGCTGAGATTTAGAAAATTAATAAAATGAATTATAACAAGAGGCTAATTAAAAACTTTAGTAATTGTTGTCAAGACAGCTTGATGGGAGGCGTGCTGAACGACGCTTCCCCCCGCCCCGTCCTCCCCTTCCCTTCCTTCTCCGTTCCGCTTTTGGGAAGCTTTTTCTTTTTCCTCCTTTGCGACCCCTTCGCACCTGAAGGAGGCTCGGTTTGGGAGAAAAGCAGTGGATGAATATATAGGTCAGCTGAATATATAGGTCCCAGA